GTATTTTGCCGTCCATGTATTTAAAAAGCAATTCTGAAGTTGGAAAGCGTAGCATAGGTTTCTTACATAACGTTCTTTGTGTGGTCCTCGGGTGATAGTTTTCTATCTAGAACCACCCGTTGATCTTTATCAGAAAGATTTCTCACATAATTTATAGTTTGTGTTCTCCTATTCCACATTCCATAACATGGCATTTATTCACATAAAATTCCATTTGCGACGTGATGCTCCATATACTTTTGTCCAGGTCTTCTTGAAAGGGGCATGACAATCATCTAAGTTTCTTATGCTTCCTATTATCTTAGTATCATCAGCAAACATGTCCATGTAATTCTTTATTCCATCTGGTAGATCATTTATGTTGACAATGAACATCACCAGTGCAAGAACTGAACCCTGTGGGACTCCACTTGAGACATTTCTCCGGTCCGATACATTGCCTCCGATTACTTAGTGCGCCAATGGGTGCAATCTCACAGGTAACACACGGACCTTTGTGCCTAAGTATCTACTCAATTTAAGGGCTTATTTGGGGCTGTACCCAGGTCGTTAATTGCGGGGCTTCGGTATTTCCAAAGTTGATGAAGTGTCGGTAATATTTAAAGTAACACTTGGAAAAGATATATTTTATATAATTAAAATGAAATAGTTCATTGTGTAATTGCGTTCAAAGTTAGTACTGCGCTGACGAATAAGCCAGCTGTTGGCTGCTGCATGGATGATGCGTGAACATGGTCTGATAAAGTCCAGATGGGTGGAAAAAAAATAGGTTCATTCCTTTGTACTGTGAAATATTGTCTATGGATCAATGATTGTCAATGTTTCCTCAATGAAATTTTAGAGATGCTTTACTGTACCCTGTACAGTACATGTAATATATTTTTAACGTTATGACATAGGCTGTGGCAGCCAGGCTATACAATGGGGATCGAGCCATGTCACTAATCCAGAGCTATCAAAGACAAAATCTTGAGGTTCACCTTTTCTCTGCTAATAATAGAATATACAGTACATTTGCAGAGATTAATATGTAGCCATTGTTGAAAATAAAAAACAATGTTGTAATACTGTAATAAAATTGATAAAATTACAATGGGGCCTCAACTTACGATGCTAATCCGTTCCCAGAGACGGATCGTAAGTCGAAATATTGTAAGTCGGAGCGATTTTTTCCCATAAGAAATAAAGGGAATTGAATTAATCCGTTCCCCACCCTCCAAAATATTAGCATACAAATACATTTTATACTGAATACAATGTTTTTTCTAACTACAATACATAGTATTGTAGTTAGTACCAAAGTTTCTCTTACCTTTATGGAGGGTTCTTGATGGCGTATGGAAGATGGTGATGGGGGGGGGGGGGGGAGGAGGAGAGTTGTTACTGTTTGGAAGGGGACTCCCCCTTCCATTATCACATCAGGCAGTGATGTTTTCAATGGGGTACTCCTACGTTTTGCCTGAATACCAGTAGGACCTGGTTATGGTTCAGTGCTTGTTTGTCTCGCTACAAATTTGTCAAGACATTTTTTTTCCCTTCGTTTTAACATTTGTCTGTAATGATGCATCACAGCGTCATTGAATAGGTTAAGGCAACGACCTACTGCAGCTTGATTTGGGCGAGTGGTTTCAGCAAAGGTTTGCAATTCTTCCCATGCTGCACACATTTTCTTAATTGTTGAGGAAGAGACATTCTGTACTCTTGTTTCTGCTCTAAGGTCATCCTTACATGGGTTTTAATATGTTGAGCCTTATCACTGACTTTCCTGGGACTCATGGCATAATATATAATAATTACTTTAATGTTCAAAATGCAAAAAAATCACCACAAAAGCGGAATTTCGTATAGGCGCGATCGTCAATAAGCGGGCAGCTGTAGTAAACTGAGGCAGGTCGGCCGCATGACCGGGAACCATGCGCTTGATCGACCCGAACGTGTACCAACAAATATCAGAAATCGACGACACCATCGGATGTCGCGTCGCATTTTTTTATGAAATTTACATCGTAACTCGAAATTATCGTAAGTAGGGGCAATCGTATGTCGAGGTGCCACTGTACTGACTTTTTATGAAGCTGAAGATTAAGTCATCCTTTGCAGCGCATATTTTGTATTGTTCAGTATGCATACAGTATGTACACTTTGAGGCATTCACTTCACGTAACAGCTAGGCCTATTACTAATTCGCATGTGTGCAATGCACTACACTTTAATGTTGACTAACAACTGTAATGCACTTGTACATTTGAAACTTATTTGTATTTACACTGTACAGTATATCTTTTTGTTAAGGCTTAATTATTCAATGACACTTAAAATACTGTACTCTATCAACACATCTTGCACTAATTTATATGCATTTCATTCATATTTTATACTAGCAGTACCCGGCCCAAACCTTTCCTATCCCCCAGTCCTCCCCACCATTCTCCCCTCCCCCGTCTCCTAAGCCTCCCAACCATTCCCCACTCCACTGTCCCCTCGTCCTCCCCACCATTCCCCACTTCAACATCCCCCTCTTCCTTCCCGGAGCTGGTCGGCCGAGCGGACAGCCCGCTGGACTTGTGATCCTGGGTTCGATCCCAGGCGCTGGCGAGAAACAATGGGCAGAGTTTTTCACCCCATGCCCCTGTTACCTAGCAGTAAAATAGGTACCTGGGTGTTAGTCAGCTGTCACAGGCTGCTTCCTGGGGGTGGAGGCCTGGTCGAGGACCGGGCCGCGGGGACACTAAAAAAAAAAAAAAAAAAGCCCGAAATCATCTCAAGATAACCTTCCCAGCATGCCCCACTCCCTTGTCCCCTCGTCTTCCGTCCCTTCATCATCCCCACTCCCTCGTCCGATGCCTTTCCAAATGGTCTGATGTTCACATCAGATAATTGGGAACAAAGTGATCTGATGTTCCCATCACTGAAATATAAGAAAGTTAAAAAATGAAATGAAAATATGAAGAAAATTTAAAAAACTATTCTCACAAAATGTCTGGTCTGGTAAACAACACAGTTCAATTCCAATGCAATTCACACAAAATAATTAAATCAAAATGAAAATAAATCAAAATCTATGAAAATTCAATTTATCAATGAAATCAGGATCATTGAAATGGAATTGTAACATATCTAGTATAGTATGTGTGTTGCTCTTACATGCAACAGATGGTGCTGTTTTTCAAGAAAAGCATAGTTATACCTGTCACTGGTGTGGCATCTATACTTATACTTACGAAATGAACGGTATGGTAAACAGCACAGCTCAATTCCAACACAATGTCACACAAAATAATTCACTAAAAAATACAATAAATTGAAATCTATGAAAATAAAATTTGTCAATGCAATCAGAAACATTGAAATGGAATTCATGACATATTTAGTACAGCGTGCATGTTGCCATTATGTGCAACAGATGGCGCTGAGTTTCAAAAAAGATTGTTTTACCTGTCACAGGGGTGGCATCTATACAGTAGGTATATAAAAAGATGTGCCTATTCGAATGCAACGTTGTCAAAATTTCATGGCAATCGGTAAAGAGGTTTCGAAGATTTCCCCTCGCATGAAAAACACATTAAAAACAGTTTTCAGAAAAAACATGTTTTTTTTTTACCGTCACAGACTTGACATCTATATAGTATGTATATAAAAACCTGCTCGGATGCGAATGGAACGTTGTATGAAAATTTCAAAGCAATCAGTGAAGTACTTTCGGAGATTAGCGATTTTGAACAAACGAACATTTCCACTTTTATTTATATAGATCATTCGTTAGCAGATGCTGCATGACTTGTTGATGAATCAGCATCGGCGAGTGCAACATGGCTTGTGGGGCACTCATTGCTGGTGGATGTTGCATGACTTGTTGAATTCCCAGTGGGTGCAGTATGGCTTGTAGATGAAGACTTTTCACGGATCGCTGAAATCATGAATTTATCAATTTTTGTCTGAATCTGATTATCTCTGGCTAACATTGAGGCAGTACAGTACAACCTCGATTCAACGTACCCCGATTCAACGAATCTCCGGCTAGTTCGCACACTTTTCAGGCCGAATTTACTGTTCGACGATGGTTCGCCGAAGCGAGGGATGTTCGGATTTGCTTAGATGTCCAGACAGAGTTCACAGACTGGTGGAAAACTTTCCCATTCTATAACAGATTACAATTAATAATTCTCTCATATGACAAGTTGGATCACACAAGTGGACCACACATATGGACCACACAAATGGACCACACATGTGGACCACAAGTGGTCCACAAGCTTACGATTTTGGGACAGAGTTCACAGAGTGGTGGAAAACTTTCTCATTCTATCACAGATTACAATTAATAATTCCTTCATAAGAAGTTGGATCACACAAGTGAACCATATGAACCAAACACCAGCCAAAATGGTCCACACAAACACCAGCCAAAATGGTCCACACAAACACCAGCCAGAGTGATCCACACAAGTGAACAACTGAGTTTCCATGATTTTCGTTCACTGATTTGGGGCACACGTATCTTTGTACATTAATTTAAAGGATGAAGCGTGATTACCTAGCTACATGTGGTAAAATCTCCTTATAGACATTTTCTGTGATGAAACAAGATGAGTGAGGGTGGACAGATAAGAGAATACTGTACTGTAAACCTCACTTTACAGTGAGGTTTCACTCGCTTTCGTCTGTGTGTCGTCATAGTTCAGTGACCCATGACTTTTGAAAGTTTCATATTAATAAATAATTTCTAAAACCAGTGTTTTAATAGCTTTTTATTATCCTAATTAAACTAAACTAAATAAAACCGAAAATATGCTGTAACATGATAGACATCTGCTCTTTGAGAAATTACTGTATGTTATTGGAACAACTCTAGCGTGAGTGGACGGGTCTAATCCCTGTACACACACCATGCTTGTTTCATCCCGCCCTCCCTCTCTCCCCCTCCCTCCCTCCCTCCCTCCCTCCCCCTCCCTCCCTCCCTCTCCCCCTCTCTCTCTCTCTCCTCTATCTCTCTCTCTCTCTCCCCCCTCTCTCTCTCCTCCCTCCCTCTCTCTCTCTCTCTCTCTCCCCTCCCCCCCCCCTCTCTCTCTCTCTCTCCCCCCTCTCTCTCTCTCTCTCTCCCCCTCCCCTCTCTCTCTCTCTCTCTCTCCCCTCTCTCTCTCTCTCTCTCCCCCTCTCTCTCTCTCTCCCCTCTCTCTCTCTCCCTCTCCTCTCTCTCTCTCTCTCTCCATCCATCCATCCATCCCCCTCCCTCCATCCATCCATCCATCCCCCTCCCTCCATCCATCCCCTCCATCCATCCATCCCCCTCCCTCCATCCATCCATCCCCCTCCATCCATCCATCCCCTCCCTCCATCCATCCATCCCCTCCCTCCATCCATCCATCCCCTCCCTCCATCCATCCATCCATCCCCTCCCTCCATCCATCCATCCATCCCCTCCCTCCATCCATCCATCCATCCCCTCCCTCCATCCATCCATCCATCCCCTCCCTCCATCCATCCATCCATCCCCTCCATCCATCCATCCATCCATCCCCTCCCTCCATCCATCCATCCATCCCCTCCCTCCATCCATCCATCCATCCCCTCCCTCCATCCATCCCCCCCTCCCTCCATCCATCCCCTCCCTCCATCCATCCCCTCCCTCCATCCATCCATCCCCCCTCCATCCATCCATCCATCCCCTCCCTCCCTCCATCCATCCATCCCCTCCCTCCATCCCCTTTCTTCCTCCATCCATCCAGAATTGAAGAAACAAATCAAGTTAAAAAAAAAGTTAACTGGGTCAGAGTTAGGGTTATCAGCGAGTCGGTCCCTTCACCACCACCGACACACCTCCCCCCCCCCACCCCTACAGCCCATACACACACACACACCCTCAAATCATCCATCCCTCCCTCCATCCTACCATCAATCCATCTCCATCCTCTCCTTCCCTGCCTCCCTCCCAAGCTCTGCCTGCCTCCCTCCGTGCCTGCCTCCCTCCCTGCCTGCCTCACTCCCTGCCTCCCCCTTACAAGCTCTGCCTGCCCACCTCCCTCCCAACCTCCCACTGATTTGTGGCAGACGTATCTTTGTAAATTAATTTAAAGGCTGAAGCGTGATTAGCTAGCTACATGTCGTAAAATCTCCTTATAGACATTTTCTGTCATAAAACAAGGTGAGTGAGGGTGGACAGATAAGGGAATACTGTTCTGTAAACCTCACTTGGTTTTCCTTCGTCTGTGTCGTTATAGTTCAGTGACCCATGACTTTGAAAGTTTCAGACTAATAAATCATTTCTAAAAGCAATGCTTTAATAGCTTTTTATTATCCTAATTAAACTAAACTAAATAAAACCGAAAATATACTGTAATATGATAGACATCTGCTATTTGAGAAATTATTTGTTATTGGAACAACTCCAGCGTGAGCGAGTGGACGGGTCTAATCCCTGTACACACCATGCGTTTCTCGTTTCAATTCGTCGCCACAGTTCAGTGACTACGGCTTCGAAATAATAAAATTAATAAATCATTTAATCAATGGTCATTTAACAGATGATGAGATTATACAAAATGTTACTGGCACTGTTGACGTTCCCAGCACCAGCACAGCCGTACCCAGCACCAGCACAGCCGTACCCAGCACCAGCACAGCTGTACCCAGCACCAGCACAGCCGTACCCAGCACCAGCACAGCCGTACCCAGCACCAGCACAGCCGTACCCAGCACCAGCACAGCCGTACCCAGCACCAGCACAGCCGTACCCAGCACCAGCACAGCCGTACCCAGCACCAGCACAGCCGTACCCAGCACCAGCACAGCCGTACCCAGCACCAGCACAGCCGTACCCAGCACCAGCACAGCCGTACCCAGCACCAGCACAGCCGTACCCAGCACCAGCACAGCCGTACCCAGCACCAGCACAGCCGTACCCAGCACCAGCACAGCCGTACCCAGCACCAGCACAGCCGTACCCAGCACCAGCACAGCCGTACCCAGCACCAGCACAGCCGTACCCAGCACCAGCACAGCCGTACCCAGCACCAGCACAAAAGCAGCTGAAGCCAACACAGCAGCAGCGAGCACCAGCAAAGCTGATGCAAACATCTAAAAACATCGTGTGTGAAGTGAACAATTAGAATAAGTGTTAAATTCAAGTGTGTACATAGTGTTAAAATTAAAGTTGCAATAATTCTAATGTACAATAGTTTTCAAGAACTGTATTGTAGTACTCAACATACAGCAAAACCACTTTTAATAATACAGTGCTAACGGCTTAATGCACTGCAGTACCTATTTACTGTAGAGCATTCACAACTTCACAAAACTTCAAGATGGACATAACTCCAACAATAAGGTAAATACATGAATTACAGAATTTTTAGTAGAGTAGTAAAATATAGGTACAGTAAGTAATATGATACAATGCATTTTTATTGTGTACAAGAAAAAAAAAAGACACTGACGCAAACGCCTCTTGAAGGTCACCTCTTGCAACGAATCCAACGCTCCAACGAACTGGGGGTGGTCCCATATAGTACGTTGAATCGAGGTTGTACTGTAATGTCCTTCCTCAGGACATTACTGCCTCAATGGGGGAGGGAGGGAGGGGGAGGGAGGGAGGGAGGGGGAGAGGGGGAGGGAGGGGGAGAGGATCTTTTTATTGTCAATCCTCCTTTCGTCACTGAACCCGATCTCGATGGACTGACGGTTCTTACGGTGGCGTTTGTGGGGCGTATACTCAAGACGCACCCCTAGGGGGGCGATGGCAAGATCGGCAACATTTCTCTTGTTGGGTGTCCTGCCTCTAATTGTGGCTCCGTGGTGGGACATTCGTGAATGAAAGTATTACCTCTCGTTTCGTGTCTCATTCTGTTCCTCTTGTACTTTCTCGGGCTCGTGAGGTGGGCGACCAAGCCCCCGAGTTGGACCGTGTTGGAAGACCGGGCTCTGTAGCCCCCGCTGCATTGGGCCCCAACCTTGCTCCTCCTTTGACCTTCCTGACTACTCCCCTCGGCTCCCCTCCCTCCTCTGTGGTTGGGTCTGTAACGTACGATTATGTTACGTTGTTGGGTAGATTAGGTACAGTGTTTAGCAAGTTTCATATTTATTTAGTAGTCCTGGATACAGCAGTGTCGTAGACATTGATATAGAGCTTGGAGCAGAGAGCCGAGTGAGGCCGGAGTCGCGGAGCTCTGTGGGAGAGCGTTGTAGCTGGATGCGGTCCTAGTCTGTTGTCTGTTCTGTGTCAAAGCTGTATTGTCTTGGAGTCGATTAGAACTGCATACGCAGAGTGCTACATTCTTGACTGGAAATTGTACTGTCCTCTATTCTTATATCGCTTCTTTATATTTGGTGACTACCCCTCACCTTTCTCTACAAGGATAGGAGGATGTGAGAACTGTTACCTGTAATTAGGGATAGGATTATAGCTTGTGTAGTTAGTACTAATTAGTTACGCCATTAAGATAATGAGATAATGGAGCGAGTATAAGGATAACTCGCTACAGGTCGAGCCACAAGCCCCTAGTGGTGACCACCTCGTCCCCTGGCACGGCTCGGTCTCTCATTGTGACTACTGTGCCTTTTAACCCCTCTCTCTGGGGGTTCTCAACGCCATCCACGCCATGGAATCACTCGCTCGATCCCTTCCCATACTGATGCATACCAGGCCTTGTTTAGTCCAGCTGGCCAAATACTTTTCTCTCCTGGTTGATACCTGGTTGATGGGGTTCTGGGAGTTCTTCTACTCCCCAAGCCCGGCCCGAGGCCAGGCTTGACTTGTGAGAGTTTGGTCCACTAGGCTGTTGCTTGGAGCGGCCCACAGGCCCACATACCCACCACAGCCCGGTTGGTCCGGCACTCCTTGGAGGAATAAATCTAGTTTCTTCTTGAAGATGTCCACGGTTGTTCCGGCAATATTTCTTATGCTTGCTGGGAGGGTGTTGAACAACCGTGGACCTCTGATGTTTATACAGTGTTCTCTGATTGTGCCTATGGCGCACCTGCTCTTCACTGGTTCTATTCTGCATTTTCTTCCATATCATTCACTCCAGTACGTTGTTATTTTACTGTGTAGATTTGGTACTTGGCCCTCCAGTATCTTCCAGCTGTATATTATTTGATATCTCTCTCTCGTCTTCTCTCTAGTGAGTACATTTGGAGGGCTTTGAGACGATCCCAATAATTTAGGTGCTTTATTGCATCTATGCGTGCCGTATATGTTCTCTGTATTCCCTCTATTTCAGCAATCTCTCCTGCTCTGAAGGGGGAGTTGAGTACTGAGCAGTACTCAAGACGGGACAACACAAGTGACTTGAAGAGTACAACCATTGTGATGGGATCCCTGGATTTGAAAGTTCTCGTAATCCATCCTACAGTATCATTTTTCTGGCTGTCGCAATATTTGCTTGGTTATGCTCCTTAAACGTTAGGTCGTCAGACATTATTATTCCCAAATCCTTTACATGCTGTTTTCCTACTATGGGTACATTTGATTGTGTTTTGTACTCTGTATTATGTTTAAGGTCCTCATTTTTACCGTACCCGAGTACCTGGAATTTATCACTGTTAAACATCATGTTATTTTCTGATGCCCAGTCGAAAACTTTATTAATATCAGCTTGAAGTTTTTCAGTGTCTTCAGCCGAGATAATTTTCATACTGATTTTTGTGTCATCTGCAATGGTTGATACAAAGTTGTGACTTGTATTTTTGTATATACAGTACAACCTCGATTCAACGTACTATATGGGACCACCCCCAGTTCGTTGGAGCGTTGGATTCGTTGCAAGAGGTGACCTTCAAGAGGCGTTTGCGTCAGTGTCTTTTTTTTCTTGTACACAATAAAAATGCATTGTATCATATTACTTACTGTACCTATATTTTACTACTCTACTAAAAATACTGTAATTCATGTATTTACCTTATTGTTGGAGTTATGTCCATCTTGAAGTGTTGTGAAGTTGTGAATGCTCTACAGTAAATAGGTACTGCAGTGCATTAAGCCGTTAGCACTGTATTATTAAAAGTGGTTTTGCTGTATGTTGAGTACTACAATACAGCTCTTGAAAACTATTGTATATTAGAATTATTGCAACTTTAATTTTAACACTATGTACACACTTAAATTTAACACTTATTCTAATTGTTCACTTCACACATGATGTTTTTAGATGTTTGCATCAGCTTTGCTGGTGCTCGCTGCTGCTGTGTTGGCTTCAGCTGCTTTTGTGCTGGTGCTGGGTACAGCTGTGCTGGTGCTGGGTACGGCTGTGCTGGTGCTGGGTACAGCTGTGCTGGTGCTGGGTACGGCTGTGCTGGTGCTGGGTACGGCTGTGCTGATTGATTTGCTGCTAGTTCGTGAAAAATATTGACTCATTTTCATTTGTTTCCTTCTTTGTGTCATGTCCTTGAGACAAATATCTTTCATCGTCCTTAGGTGTTGATAAAAGCCTGGTAGCTCTGGATTGTCAATTTGTGAAACAATATCAAGGAGTTTTTCAACATAGAACAATGCGTTAGCACACGTAGCAGATTGTAAACTGCTATCATTCTCATCCTCATCTTCCTTTCCGTCGTCGTCAACAGTGCCAGTAACATTTTGTATAATCTCATCATCTGTTAAATGACCAATGGGTGGATCGACTGCATCAATATCTAACCACTCCTCCACATCGTTCAGCGTCAACTCCGTCTCACCAGCGGCACGCAGTTCTTGATAAATATCATTTGAAAATCCTTCAAAATCCATTTCTTCCTCAGTCACTTCATCAGCATGATCAAGCAACAGGAGTTTTTTCCAACAATTTCTTAATGTTGACTCTTGAACTTCATCCCAAACTTTAGCCCAGTTGTAAATGCCTTCCTTAATTGAGTATTTTTGGTAACGTTCCAGTGTTGCTTGACCTCGCGAATCGGTTCCTTGTCTTTTGTCTTCATCTGACTCAAACACCACCATGATTTCTTTATTCATTTCTCGTTTGTAGAGCCTTTTCATTGCATATATAACACCCATATCCATTGGCTGGATCAGAGAGGTGGTATTGGGAGGCAAGGCCATACATTTGATGCGTCCATCATGTGACGTTAATTTGTCGAGCCCTACATGAGCTGGGGCATTGTCAACCAAGAGTAATGCCTTGACATCATTCCGTCTCACTCCACACTTCTTTATCTGAAAATCTCTAACTTCTTTGCAAAAATGATTTTTGAACCAGTCTACAAAAATATCTCCAGTAAACCAAGCTGTTTTTGAGCTGTAGTAGACCACAGGTAGCTTGTTCATTAAATTTTTCAGAGCACGTGGGTTTTTTGACTTCCCCACAATGGCGGACTTTGTTCTGTGACTTCCGTCTGCATTTGCACACAGCATGGCAGAAACTTTTTCTTTGTTTACCTACCGGCCAGGAACACTCTCATCTAGCCTAGATGCCAAAGTGTTGTTCTGCAAGCATTTCCAATTAAAGCCTGTTTCATCGGCATTGTATACCTGAAAACGCCTTAGATCATTTGTTATTATGTAATCATTTAATTTACGCTTAAATGGCTCGACTGAATCCGTATCTGCACTTAATGATTCTCCACAAACTTTCCTGTTCTTAATATTATGTCTATTCTTAAATCTTTGCAACCATCCTTCACTTGCTCGAAAATCTGGAATGTTCATCTTTTGTGCAAATTTATCGGCTGCTGTCTTAATGGCGTCGCCGCCAAGTGGCATCCCCACAGAGCGCTCCTGGTTAAACCATTTATACACAGCTTCATCCAAATTCGTATTTGCAGAACCTTTTATTGTTTTCCTTTTATTTAATGCACCACTATCACTCGAAGCAAGAAACTTCCTAATATTATCTTTCTGTCTCTTGATATCACACACCGTACTTTTCCCGACATTAAATTCTGCTGCCAGCCTAGTAACAGAGTAGCCACGTTCATGTTTCTCTATCATGTCTAATTTCTGCTCAATGGATAAAAAACTTCTCTTCCTCTTTGCAGATACAGCACGATTAGCAAGCCCTTGAGACATCTTGTTGTATATTAATAAAGCTGTAGTCAAAAAAATGGTAAATTCCACGATTATTCTTTCACTGGCGGACAAACACGTCACTCGCACGCAGACAAATGTAACAGCACTGAGTGCCTACTGTATAAACGCAGACTAGGTCTATACACCCTCCAGTAGGCTGGTGTTTAAGCCAGATCCAGTAACATAAATTTATCTCAAATATTGGATTTACATCATATTATATATTTTTAGGTTATATATTTAGATTAGTAACATTATTAGGATAATAAGAGATATAAAAAACTTATTTTAGACCTGATTTATTAATTTTATTATTTCGAAGCCGTAGTCACTGAACTGTGGCGACGAATTGAAACGAGAAACGCATGGCGTGTGTACAGGGATTAGACCCGTCCACTCGCTCACGCTGGAGTTGTTCCAATAACAAATAATTTCTCAAATAGCAGATGTCTATCATATTACAGTATATTTTCGGTTTTATTTAGTTTAGTTTAATTAGGATAACAAAAAGCTATTAAAGCATTGGTTTTAGAAATGATTTATTAGTCTGAAACTTTCAAAGTCATGGGTCACTGAACTATAACGACCCAGACGAAGGAAAACCAAGTGAGGTTTACAGAACAGTATTCCCTTATCTGTCCACCCTCACTCACCTTGTTTTATCACAGAAAATGTCTATAAGGAGATTTTACGACATGTAGCTAGCTAATCACGCTTCAGCCTTTAAATTAATTTACAAAGATACGTCTGCCACAAATCAGTGGGAGGTTGGGAGGGAGGTGGGCAGGCAGAGCGTGTGAGGGAGAGGCAGGGAGGGAGGCAGGCACGGAGGGAGATAGGCACGGAGGGAGGCAGGCAGAGCTTAGGAGGGAGGAAGGGAAGGAGAGGATGGAGATGGATTGATGGTAGGATGGAGGGAGGGAGGGATGGAAGGATGGATGATTTGAGGGTGTGTGTATGGGCTGTAGGGGTGGGGGTGGGGGGGGAGGTGTGTCGGTGGTGGTGAAGGGACCGACTCGCTGATAACCCTAACTCTGACCCAGTTAACTTTTTTTTAACTTGATTTGTTTCTTCAATTCTGGATGGATGGAGGGAGAAAGGGGATGGAGGGAGGGGATGGATGGAGGGGGGGATGGATGGATGGATGGATGGAGGGGATGGATGGATGGATGGAGGGAGGGGATGGATAGATGGATGGAGGAGGGGATGGATGGATGGATGGATGGAGGGGATGGATGGATGGATGGAGGGGATGGATGGATGGATGGAGGGAGGGGATGGATGGATGGATGGAGGGAGGGGATGGATGGATGGATAAAGGGAGGGGATGGATGGATGGAGGGGGGGTGGATGGAGGGGGGATGGATGGAGGGAGGGGATGGATGGAGGGAGGTTATGGATGGATGGATGAAGGGAGGTTATGGATGGATGGATGAAGGGAGGTTATGGATGGATGGATGGATGGAGGGGGGATGGATGGAGGGGATGGATGGATGGAGGGAGGGGATGGATGGATGGATGGAGCGGGGATGGATGGAGGGAGGGGATGGATGGATGGATGGAGGGAGGGAGGGAATGGATGGAGGGAGGGAGGGGATGGATGGAGCGGGGATGGATGGAGGGAGGGAGGGGATGGATGGAGGGGGAGGGGATGGATGGATGGATGGAGGGAGGGGATGGATGGATGGAGGGAGGGAGGGGATGGATGGATGGAGGGAGGGAGGGGAAGGATGGATGGATGGATGGACGGAGGGAGGGAGGGGAAGGATGGATGGATGGATGGATGGATGGAGTGGATGGAGGGAGGGAGGGAGGGGATGGATGGATGGAGGGGGATGGATGGAGGGAGGGAGTGGATGGAGGGAGGGAGGGAGGGGATGGATGGATGGATGGAGGGGGATGGATGGAGGGAGGGAGTGGATGGAGGGAGGGAGGGGATGGATGGATGGATGGATGGATGGAGGGAGGGAGTGGATGGAGGGAGGGAGGGAGGGGATGGATGGATGGATGGATGGATGGAGGGAGGGAGTGGATGGAGGGAGGGAGGGAGGGGATGGATGGATGGATGGAGGGGATGGATGGATGGAGGGGATGGATGGATGGATGGAGGGGGGGATGGATGGATGGATGGATGGAGGGAGGGGAGGGATGGAGGGATGGAGGGAGGGGATGGATGGAGGAAGGGGATGGATGGATGGATGGAGGAAGGGGATGGATGGATGGATGAAGGGGATGGATGGATGGAGGGAGGGGATGGATGGATGGATGGAGGGAGGGGAAGGATGGATGGATGGATGGGGGGAGAGAGAGAGAGAGAGAGAGAGAGAGAGAGAGAGAGAGAGAGAGAGAGGGGGGGGAGAGGGAGGGGGGAGGGAGGGACATGAAACAAGCATGGTGTGTGTACAGGGATTAGACCCGTCCACTCACGCTGGAGTTGTTCCAATAACATACAGTAATTTCTCAAAGAGCAGATGTCTATCATGTTACAGCATATTTTCGGTTTTATTTAGTTTAGTTTAATTAGGATAATAAAAAGCTATTAAAACACTGGTTTTAGAAATTATTTATTAATATGAAACTTTCAAAAGTCATGGGTCCCTGAACTATGACGACACACAGACGAAAGTGAGTGAAACCTCACTGTAAAGTGAGGTTTACAGTACAGTATTCTCTGATCTGTCCACCCTCACTCATCTTGTTTCATCACAAAAAATGTCTATAAGGAGATTTTACCACATGTAGCTAGGTAATCACGCTTCATCCTTTAAATTAATGTACAGAGATACGTGTGCCCCAAATCAGTGAACGAAAATCATGGAAACTCAGTTGTTCACTTGTGTGGATCACTCTGGCTGGTGTTTGTGTGGACCATTTTGGCTGGTGTTTGGTTCATATGGTTCACTTGTGTGATCCAACTTCTTATGAAGGAATTATTAATTGTAATCTGTGATAGAATGAGAAAGTTTTCCACCACTCTGTGAACTCTGTCCCAAAATCGTAAGCTTGTGGACCACTTGTGGTCCACATGTGTGGTCCATTTGTGTGGTCTACTTGTGTGATCCACTTGTGTGATCCAACTTGTCATATGAGAGAAATATTATTTGTAATCTGTTATAGAATGGGAAAGTTTTCCACCAGTTTGTGAACTCTGTCTGGACATTGTAACCAAATCCGAACATCCCTCGCTTCGGCGAACCATTGTTCGTCGAACCGGGTGAGTAAATTCGGCCTGAAAAGTGTGCGAATTAGCCGGAGATTCGTTGAATCGGGGTACGTTGAATCGAGGTTGTACTGTATCTGATATGAGAATAAGGAAAAGCAGCGGTGCAAGGACTGTACCCTGAGGTACAGAGTTTTTAACTGCACTTGGACTAGATTTTATATGGTTGACCGTTACTCGCCGAGTCCTGTTTGACAGAAAACTGAGTATCCAGCGTCCTACTTTACCGGTTATTCCCATTGACTTCATTTTGTGTGCTATCACGCCATGGTCACATTTATCGATAGCCTTTGCAAAGTCCGTGTATATCACATCAGCATTCTGTTTTTCTTCTACTGCCTCAGTGACTTTGTCGTAGTGCTCTAGTAGCTGTGAGAGGCACGATCTTCCCGCTCGAAATCCATGTTGGCCTGGGTTGTGAAGGTCATTGGTCTCCATGAAATTGGTGACCTGACTCCTAATCACTCTCTCAAATACTTTTATGATGTGCGATGTTAGTGCAACTGGTCAATAATTCTTTGCCAATGCTTTGCTCCCTCCCTTGTGTAAAGGGGCTATGTCTGCTACTTTAAGTGCATCTGGTATCTCCCCCGTGTCCAAGCTCTTCCTCCACACTATGCTGAGTGCCTGTGCTACCAGCACTTTGCATTTCTTTGTAAATATTGAATTCCATGAGTCTGGACCTGGGGCCGAGTGCATGGGCATGTTTTCAATTTCTCTTTCAAAATTTAGTGCGCTCTTGTTGATATCAGTTATATTTACTGGGGTTTGAATATCCCGCATAAAGAAATCGTCTGGATCTTCCACTTTCATGTTGTTTATTGGAGTGCTAAACATGTCCTCATACTGCTTTTTTAGGATTTCACTAATTTCTTTGTTATCCTCCATGTATGAACCTTCACTTGTACGAATAGGTCCAGTACTGGCAGTGGTTTTTGCTTTTGATTTCGCATATGTGAAGAAATATTTTGGATTTTTCTTTATTTCCTGAATTACTTTGTTCTAACTGCCTTTCTTCAGTTTCATATGAGTGTTTCAATTTCCGCTTGATTTCTTCAATCTCCCTATTTAAATTATTCCTCCTTTGACGGGAAATTCATGTCTGCATAAGCAGTTCCGTTATTTTTTTTCTGTGTTTATAGTGTCGTCTGCGTTCTCTTTCTACGTTGGATCTCTTTCTGGCTTTCCTCAAAGGAACATGTTTCAGACAGACTTGATACGCTTCCGAAGTCAGTTTATCTATTCCTTCTGTAGGACTTGTATTACTTAGAACAGTTTCCCATGGAATATTTGCAAGTTCCCTGTTTATTATCTCCCAGTCTATCCTTTTATTATTACAATTGAATTTACTTAATAGTCCCTCTTGCTTTATCAAGTTTTTAAGTCTATTTTGAGTATTGATGGTTGTTTGCACTTCAATGAGCTTGTGATCTGAATATGTGGTATCTGATATCGTAATGTCTCTGATAATGTCTTCATTTTTCGTAAAGACCAGATCTAAAATATTTTCATTTCTCGTTGGCTCCGATATCTGCTGATTGAGTGAAAATTTGTCACAGAATCTAAGTAGTTCTCTAATCTGTGGTTGGTTAGGTCCTGATAGATTTCCTGGTATAATATTATTGTTTGCTATTCTCCACCTGAGACTAGGCAAGTTGAAATCACCTAGGAAGATAATATCAGGTATCGGGTTCTCCAAATTATCAAGGCTATTCTCTATTTTGTTTATCTGTTCTGTGAATTCCTCAGCCATTGCATCTGGTGGTTTGTATATTAGAAT